ACAGCCAGGACAAGGTCCCAAGGCAGAGGGCCTGCCATTCAGGGAGCTGCAAGGAGTCAGACTGAGAGACAAGTAGATAAAGTCATTAAGGTGTGGCCCCTTGATTGCACCAGCCTCTCCACTGGCACCCGGTCCAGCCCCCCCGCCCCAAGACCCCTCTGCACCCCTGTGCTCTGATGGGGTAGCCAGACTTTTACATATCCCTCCTCACTTTCCAGCTCCCCACAAAGAACATACCATAGCCTTTTATTCCAGCTCTCCTCTTTCTGTAGAAACCACAACAGTGAATTCTGTCTGGAAAGAATCACCAGGATAGAATAAAAAACATACACATGGACAAAATCTAAGTCACACACAAGCTTGGTACTGACATCCCCAAATTCTATGTTTCAATCACAAGCCTGGAACTGACATCCAAATAGGCTTCTCTGGGAGAGCTCAAGGCTAGGTCCCCATCTTGCCTCAGCATGTGGATGGAAGTCACCAAAAGAAACTGATCTCGAATGTTTCCACAATTGAATGTTTCATCCTGGAGCGCAATTTGTGAAATGGAAAGAAGGAGTTAGGATCCGTGGTGTAAATAACAATGCTGCCCCTCAGACTTCTTCCCACCCTGGGATCTGGATTCCACTTGGGTTGTACATTCTGGTAGACGGATGAACCCAGGGCAACCATGATCAGTCCTTGAGAGCTGGAATTTCATAACCTAGCTCTTTTCAGGGCACGATAGGATGAATTTAATAGTTGCAGCTTCTCCTGAAAGACCTGTGTGGGGTTATGATGTTTCTGAGGCACTACTCAAACAGGAGTTTGACCTCTGTTGGGTTCCCCAGGGTCTCTAGCAATACTTTTAACTTTGCTATCAAATGACTGTTATTTGGGTTTACAGTACCTCAAATTTCCCTCTTCTGTAATAAAAAGGCTTGTATCTAGCTCACGAAGACAAAAGATTGGACACCTGGCTCTTTGTTTATTAACTCTGTGACCTGACGCCTGACATTGAGACATTCTGTGCTCCAGTGTTCTTGCCTGACTAAGCTTTGAGAACACATTTCTGCAAACAAGCTTTGCTGGAGGCCCGTGAAGTACTATTCATATGAAAGAGGCATTGGGACTTGCTGGTAGTGCTGTCCACTGAGGTCTGTTCCCTGCTGTGAAAATTCTATAAAATCTACAGCAGTCACTTAAATTTCCCTATCCATGAAAAAAATATAAGGTACTCACAGCAAAAAACTTCATTATTCTACCACAATAATAAGTGTACTCTTTGTGGGGTCATTCCCTCTCATCCAAATACACACAGGAGAGTTGTTGAATTACCTTCTTACCCTTCATTAGAAGAATCCATTTATGCTAATAATTAGCATAGGACTTAGGATCCTTCATTCACTAGCTGTGTGATGTTGGGAAAATTCCTTCTCTGAGTCCAAATTCTGCAAATTGGGAATAATAATGCTATTTGTATGTGGATTAGATTTAAGGAAACAATGCATATGATTGTTTTAGACTGCCTAAAATATACCAAACACATAAAGGTGACTATTATTATTATTTTTATCATCATTATCATTATCATCACTGTTGTTATTATTAATATTTTTAGATAAACTTTGAATGCTACATAATTATATTTTTAAAGTTAGGCACTGAAATTAAGTCTGGCAAGAAAAATCGCTCTCTGGATCCTTAAAGTTGATGATCTTGATTATGATATTGTTAATATATTTGCTTGCAGATCACTATTTTTAAAGAAAACCATTCCAGTGCATTATTCTGATCTAAGTGTTGAAAACAGGGTAGGGGAGAAGGATGGGGAGGGATTGAGCCATCAGGTGAACTGAGAATCCATTGTAATTAAGGTGCTGGGCTAAGAATAGAATTGAAGCATTTGGATTCAAATCAATATATACTTAAAAGTCATAAGCCTTTTAAGTGAAAGAGAAAATGACTCTTCAAGCAATTCTTTCTATCACCGTGCAGTGACCCCTCTGATTCTACATATAACCCCCTAGAGACTGCCAGGTCCAGGACACTTTTCCCAGTTGTTCCCAGTTCATCATGCCCAAATTATAACCTGAGGCCTTTTCTCCCCCAAAGTGTTTGTTGTTGTTGTTGTGTTTGTTTTTAAACTTGAGGTTTACATAGAGGCTTTGTAGCAATGCAGCACTTCATGAAATTTTATGATCTCATAGACCTCTGTTTGGATCTAGCTCTGACATTTTCATTGACTGTGTGACCTTAAGAAGATTCCTAACATCTCTTTACATCTTTTCCTCATTGCAGTGTGATGATGCAATGAGATAACTGATACTGTGTCTTGAGTATATACCATGTGAACGATTAAAAAAAAAATCTATGCATGGAATCTAATCTTAGGTGATAGATACCTCTCTGTCTCATGAGGGTTCGCTCTCCCCTGCAGGAGTAAAGAGTAGTGCAAGAGAGGCAAGCATGAGGTGGTTAGGTTCATGTTTTAGGAATCAACTTCAGGATAGACCCTCCAGACACATTAAAATGCAATTCTTGGGCTGGGCGTGTAGCCCAGTGGAAGAACGTGTGCTTAGTGTGTGAGAGAATTCAAATCTCAGCACTAAAAGAAGAAAAAAGGCAATGAACCAAATAACAACATAAACCAAAACAAAACAAAAACACAAGTCTGTCCTTGGCCATGCTGTTATTTTATTACTCTGATGTTCTCTGCCTCTGTTTCCACATCTATGCATGCGACAGCTGTGAGGGGCAGAGGAGCTCTGTGTGGGCAGACCTGGCTGTACAGTTCAGCCCACAATGATTGCTCAATTTGTGACAGCTTTTTATTGTTATCATTGTTGTATTTCAGGAGCAGCAATATGATTGTGCTTATCTGTCATGGCCTCTCATAGGGAGAAGACGCACAGGTTTCTCTAGGCAATAGGAGCAACTTGAGTAAATGTGATTGGAGTGGAGGCCAAGATTAGCAATGCAGCACTTGGGGCACTGACTACACATGTCAGTGGACAGCACTCGATCAATGGGACAATCAGGAAGTAACGCTGAGCTTTGACCTGACCTCCACTCGCCTTCCCTCTCCACACACATAAGGGCAGAACCAAAAATAGAGGAAGGTACAGATTTTAATTCCCCTCAAGGCTGCCCATCTCTGTTGCTAGGACTGTGCCTTCATGTTCTCTCTCAAGGCAGAGGACAAGTAAGCAGAAAGAAATGAGGGAGTTGAACCTTGGAGGGTTTCAGAGGTGAGAATTTTTAAAGAGCATTTCTGAATGCCCACTGTTTCTTTCTTTCCAAATTGGGGGGCGGGGGCTGATGCAGTACAGGGCACAGCCTGAATATACCCTATAAAACAAGGGGCTAGAGTGAAAAGGGATCCCAGAACATCAAATGGAGCTTGGTAAGTTTGCTTAGCTCCTTCTTTTGGGGAAACTGATGCTCAGGAGGCAGAAAACTTGGGTAAAATTATACAACCAGAAGGTAGTAAAGGCTATGGTGGATGAGAGCCCAGGATTTAGGGCTCCCAACTGGATGCTGACTTTCCCATATTATTCTGTTGTTCGCCTCCACAGTGGGTATCATGAATGTGTAAAACTGAAGGATGCCTTAGCCACAGGAGGCTCCTCTGCATATAGATGGAAATACTGAAGTCCAGAGAGAAAAATTGTCCAAGGTAGCAGCAAACAGATGGTACCTTACAATTAGAATGGATGTCTCTGTACTCAGACATCACACTTTGTAGCCTGCTGTCCCCCACTGCTGCAGAAAGTCCCAGGGCTGCAGAACCTCAGGAGAGGTATCAACTCCTTCTGTTTTCTGCCAACAGCCCAGGAGTCAGTCTTAGAAAACCTCAGCCTCACTGAGCCTGTGCTTGGCCATGTCCCAGTTTGGCCCCATGGGCTCCCAGTGGCAATTCCCATGAAATAACTGAGAAGAACATAGTAGAAAGGAATAATATCTTTTATTAAATCTGCTTTCGGCTTATTGCCTGCTGTCCTATCTTGGCCCGTTCAACTTTTTCCTCAATTTTTTTTGGCTCTTAAGCATAAAGTACAGGTGCTGAGCTTGGGATCCTAGAGTTCTCCAGAATGCTGACCCCAGGGTGAGCAATCTCCCAGATGCTCCTTTTACCTGGCACACAAAACAGCTGAATATTGCTGACCAGAGCTTCTGAGAGAGGCAAGCCGTTCAGCTCCCTGGCCAGGTAGAGTGAAAAAAACCACAGCAAACAACAGCATCTGGAAACGTGCAGTCGGAGTTGGCACACTTGCAGGGGAAACGCCGCACGGTCTATTAAATTATTTCTGTAACCATGGCTCTGTCTTTAAAAGGGGAAAAATAATCACACACAATGTTTCATATTTCAATTGCAGAAGGGGGGAGGCTTGGTTTTTAACGTCAAACACATAGTTCAGGGTAAGGCATGCAGTTGGATTTGTAATTTATTTTCATGTGCTTATTTATTTATTTATAGATAGCCGAGTTCCAAAAAGGATTTGTAATTTTTTTTTTTTTTTTTGCTTTTCCAAGTTCAGTGGGGTCAAAAGATTTCATCGAATGGCTTATCACTATGCTAGAAATATGGAGGGCAGATGAAAGACGCGTCATCCTTGGCCTCTGGGGCTCAGTTGCAGGAAACAGAGATGGAATAATGATAATAATAATGATTCAGATGTGCCCAATGTTAGCATTTATCAAGTATTATCACACTACCATCCAGTTAAATCTCTTCAGGTGACACTTGGAATGTTATGGTTTAGATATGAGGTATCCAGTGTAGCCATGTCCAGAGGGAAGATGATTAGATTATGATAGCTGTAACCTAATGAGTAGATTGGTCCATTCAGTGGATTAGCAATTTGAATGGGCTAATGGCGGTACACTCTCCCCTGCAGGAGTAAACAGGCCCCAGGCCTGTGGGGCATGGCTTGAGGAAGTAGGTTTTGGGAGAGTTGTGCCTTTAGTGATTATATTTTAGTCCTTTCTTCTTATTTCTTTTCTGTGCTTTCTAGCTCCCATGAGCAGGGCAAATTTCCTCCTGTATGTCCTTCTACCATGATGCTCTGTTGCATCTCAGACCAGAGTGAGGAAGTCAGCTGACCTTGGACCAAAACTCTGAAAACGTGAGTCCCAAATAAACTTTTTCCTTCCCTATCAGGTATTTTGGTTCCAGTGATGAAAAGCTAACTAACACAGTGAGGAAATATCTTTTGCAGGTGACGCATGATTAAACTGTATGATGGGAAAGACGGCATACTCAGATCTTCTTGACTGATAATTGGTAGAATCAAACCTGGAACATCAGAATTTTTAAGTCCAAGTTGAAGTCCTTTATTGATTAGTGTGGACATTGAGAGAGAAAGAAGACAGAAAGAAAGCCTGAAATAGTTTTCAGAAGACTCTGGAAAAGAGATGATACTCAAGTCCAGCAAAGAGTCCTGGAAAGCTCCATCCATGATAGGATTCATGGAGCCTATTGATTCATAGATGAGCTAGTAGTACAATCCCAGAGTTAATGTTCACCAGGAAACAGTTTTGCCAATGGAAAGCAAGAGGTAATAAAGATGTCAATAGATAAATTCCTTTTTTCTGTTTTGCTGTCCTACCTTTGAAAGCTATCCTGATGTGCAGCAGTTCTATATGGCTTCTCTGTAGAGAAGCAATCAGCTAGGTCTTATGCAGAAGCTATAGCTAACTTGTCAATGCATACCTTATAATGGCTTTCCCTTGAAAAAAATTTTGTTCGTGTATTTCTAGAACACCAAACTCTCCTTGATTTTCTTATCCTGTTTAATCACTCTTCTCAGTCTCCTTCAGAACCTCTTAATATTGAAATTACTAGGTCTCAATTTTTGCACACTTTGTCCTCTAGGCTTGATAGTTTGGGTGTGTTGATTTTCCTCCTTCTGGTGAATAGCAAATGTACTTCTTCAGTGCAGGCCTATTTTCTAGACTTTAGACTTGCTCATTAAACCAACTGCTGAACAGTATCTCCTCCTGAGTGTCCAATCAGCATCCCAAACATAACATGGCTGAAATCAAACCCTTAGTTTTCTCCACGTACACCAAACAGACAAGAAACAAAACAATAAGAAAAAAGCAAAAATATTTCTTTCTAGCAATTTTCCCCATCTCAGAAGATGACAGTTTCAATGTGCAGGCTGCTAGAGTCATCTCTGGCTTCTTTTTGTCAGCTTTCTCTCACTATTTCCAACTCATTAGCAAATATAGCATCAAACCTTTTGTTCTCCTTCTCCACCTTTCATTCAAGGTGCCACTGTCTTTTGCTGGAATGTTGCAGTGTCTTCCTAACTATAGTGTTTTATCTGCCACTCTGTCTCCGCTACTTTCAACTCAGTAGAGTAAATGTCTCTTTTAAGGCGTAAATCAGATGCCATTTCTCCTTATTTTAAAAACTTGTTACAGTTTTCATCTTACAGTAGATGTCAGTCCTTAAAATGACCTACAGAGCCCTCTCTGATCTGTCTCCCTACCCATATCTTCAATAACCCTTTCCTTTTTCTCTGTGCCAGCTATCTAGGACTACAGGACCATCTGCTAATATTCTATGTTTGCCCTCACTTGGGGCCTTGCATGTGCTTATTTGCTACCTAGAGAGAACAACCTATATAAGTGCCCAATCCAGCACCTTCTCAGGTCATTGCTAAACACACCTCAACAAGGCACACCCCCCTGACCCACCTATTTAACATTTCCACTGAATATTTTTCTCTTTTCCCTGCTTTTTTTTTTAAGGAACACTTCCTTTATATCTACTCTCTAATAGTCAGTATCATGAGTTTGGTTGCTCCTCTAGCCCCATAGCCAATCAAACCTTCCTGAAAGTCTGGCACATAAAAGGTGGTGGACACATTTGCCATATCACATGCACTCTGTTTCCGCCAAATGCTGTATGGTTGCTGCTTTTGGATCAGTGTTTCTGATTGCTGAGGAGGTGAGAAAGGTAAAGTAGATGTCTTTTGGTCATCACTAGTTCCATCAAGCCTGAGCAGAAGATGCGCCCCTCAGTTGAGGAAACTACAGCACATTCTTGGCAACATGCCTGTACCCTGTTACCAACAGTGTAGCAAGAACATTCCATGAGCAAGCCCAGGCTGTCTGCCACCTAGCAGTCCCTGTCCTCAAGGAGCTCACAGACTCCCAGGGTAGGCAAGGCAACCCCACCAGGCTGCTACAGTGTGCAAACTGCAGTGATTTATAGAGTGATATTTGTGCACATAAAAGGGCATTTTAAAATAGTAGTTAAAAGAAGATTTTACTTTTTCACTCTAGCCTGGTCTTAAGGTATCATTTCAATAAGAAGAATGAGATGGAAAAGGGACATTCCATGTGTTAAAAAAAGAAAAATAGAAAGGCTTTTTACCGTGGGAAGATGGTGCTGACCAAAAAGGATTCTGGAAGCCACGATGGAGCATGAGGCTAAAATTAAGGTTCTGAGGGCAGCATTATGGAGTGACCCAAAATGAACAAAGGTTATACAGAGCCAGATACTGGGTGATAGTCTGAAGAAACATAATGCAGAATTCAACTTTATTGACTGCTTAGTATCTCAGAAATTGTTTCCAGACAACTGAAGGAACTCAGCAAACTCCAAGAAAAAAGTAAAGATGTAAAATGTGTGATAAGGGAGGCTTTCACACAAGTGCTGGTTAGTGAACAGGGGAGACAACTTTTATTATTATCACAGTGACAATCCATGTGTCTGCCTGTGTTCAGGAAGGGATTCTTGTGTAAATGGCCTTCAGTAATAGTTTATACCCATTTGGGCTTTTCTGTATCAGATGGGTTAACAGAGAATTCTTATAATTTATTGACAATGACTCCTATCCCCTTCCAGGTTGGAGAATTAATGCCACTTCAACAGGAAAAGTTATACTACACAGTACATTTTGCAGTTCTGTTAGTGATTTGTTGCACTAGCAGAGGCAGAGCATCAGTTCTTCAAAATACAGTCTCTGCCTTCAGATAACAGACAAAAGGATCTAGATAATGATTTTGCTCATTTTTAGCTGTGAGAACTTAGAAACCACTGCTAACCTCAATGTCCCTCTCTGCAGAATAAACATGGACACTCAAACAATTGCTGAGAAGATCCAATGAGATAAGATCTAATGATAAATGATAAATCTTTTTGCTTTGCAAATGATAAATCTTCAGTTTGTATCTGAGAGATTTGAGTTCTCATTGTGATTATTCCTTGTTTCAGTTTTTCTGTTTATTGCTTGGTGTCCCCATTAAGAGATGCTGGCAAAAAAATCAGTTGCTTTTCTATACACTAAAACCAAACCATCTTAAAAAAAGAGATTTTTAAAAATCCCATTTATAATGACATTGAAAAGAATAAATGACTTGAGGATAAGTTTAACCAGATATGAAAGTCTTGCATACTGAAAACTAAGATGTTGATTAAGAAATTGAAAAATACCAAAATAAATAAAAAGAAACTCCAAGTTGATGGATTAGAAGAAGCAATGGGGAAATAACCATAGTTTCTGTCTATGGACCAACAGATAAAGCAAGCAGTATATATAAACAATGAACTATTATTTGATCATAACATGAAAGAAAGCCTGCCTTATAGCAATCGGGAAGAACAGAAGAGCATTATGCTAAGTGAAATGAACTAGACACAGAAAGAAAGATGCTGCATGATCTCCTTTATATGTGGAATCTAAAAATTTGAACTCACAGAAGCAGAATAGACCAATGGTTGCCAGGACATAGGGGAGTGGAGAAAGTGGGAACATGTTGGTCACAGGGTATAAACATAGAGTTATTTATAAGATGAGTAAGTCCCGGGGATGTAAAGTACAGCATGGTAAGTATAGTTAATAATGCTGGTGACTATGGTTAACGATGCTGTATTTACTCCTTCCCCTTGCTGAAGGCAGTAGATTTTAATTGTCCTTACCGCTCGGACATTACAAAATTTAACTACATGATGTGATATCTGCATTAATCAGATATGGGAGGAATCGTTTCACAATGTATGCATATATCAAAACATCATGTTATATACTTTAAATACATATAGTTTTGTCAATAAGATAATAACACATTGAAGAGATAATAGTAATCAATAAGATAATAAAATAATATTTATGAATTTTTATAAATTTATATTATGAAAATGCAATGCTGAATTTAATATAGACTCTAGTTTGATTTTCTTCTTTTCTTTGCCCCAACAAGGCACATGCTGGCCCCATATTTAACATTGCCACTGAGCCTTTTTCTCCTTTCCCTATTGGAGTATATGTGAGCAAACACAGTCCTCCAAGAAAGAAAAGGACGTGATGAGGGAGAGACCTGGAACTCCCAACTTGGCTCTTCCTTGCGTGAAAACAGTGAAGTATGCAGGCTGTGTGCATCAGTCTAGATTGCAAGGATAGGACCTATGCAATGAACGTGCTATATATTATTCATCATCATCTTCTTTGAAGACAAAAAGTAGTAGCAACATTATTTGCCTTTTGGGGAAAATAAAAACTTCAATGGTTTTGCTTACAATAGTAAATCTTACAAAATCTTTGATTATAAAATGTTTTATACGTAGATCAATAAACAATTATCCATGGGTCAGCTGTGCATCACTGTGGCCCAAGTACCTGAGAAGAAAAACTTAGAGGAGGAAAGTTTTACCTGGGTTCACAGTTTCAGAAGTTCAGTCCATGATTGGCCTACTTCATTGGTCTAGGTTTGAAGTGGGGCAGGTCATCATGGAGGAAGGGCATGGTAGAGGACAGCCGCTCATCTCATTACAGATGAGAAGCACAGAGAAAGAAAGAAGGGGCCAGAGAGAAGATAAACCTTTCTCAGGTATTCACCTTGTGACCTACTTTGTCCAACTAAGTTCCACCTCAAGGAAGTCCTTTCAGCTATCCGTTAGAGTCTGTAAACAGGTCAGGATGGCGCCTGGCATTTTGCCAGGGGGAGTGATTTGTGAGGTGGCGCCAGTGAGCCATTAAGTGTGGAGATTTCTTATTGGTTGACTGCTCTATCGAGTTTATGTTAATTAGGATAAGCTGTGTGGAATGTATCTATACTCGTCCTGTCCTACAATAAACGGCTCCCACTCCTGCTGTATCAATGTACACAAGTTGTTCGTCACCCCCCCCCCCCCGTTATTTTGCTGCAGATCTAATAGTTGCCTAAAAGGCCTCATCTCTGAATGTGGCTATGTTGGGGACAATACTTTCAACACCTGAACCTTTTGGGGACATACCAGATCTAAGCCACAACAATTCATAATACATAAAGAATCTTAAAAATCAATAACATGTTTATTAATTTGGGCAAGGGTTATAAACAGTCAATTCACAGAAGAGAAAAACATAATGGGCTATAAACTTTTGAAAATGTGTTACACTTCACCAGTAATTAGGGAAAATTAAAAACAAGAATAAACAAGTGAAAAACAACACAGAAATAAATGACTATAACAACATGAAAATAGTTACAGGCCACTTTATATTCCTTGACTTGACAAAAATCAAAAAGTCTGACATATTCTTTTGATAATTTAATAGATCTTAATAAGCCCAAATCCTGCATACTTTAGTCCCTTTAACAAACCTCTGAATTTCTGGTGTTGAAAGGCATTGGGGACACTATGATTTTGTTTATATAAAGTTTTCCATTTATTTGTGAAGCCTTACTCATTACTTTGTAAATTATTCACTTAACAGCTCAATGCAGAGTCAAATTAAAGACTTTGCTTTTTCAATCAATCCTTGTTTACCAAAGTCCTTTCTCCCTTTCCCCATCTTCAGCCCTGTGGATGACTCTGGATATTTGTAGATTAAAGAAACTTACTGATGGTGTTACCAGCTGCTCTGCTCAGAGGTGACTATTTTATGCATCATAGAACAGAAACTAAACATTTCATTTATGAACACTGATTTTGTTCACATCACTTTAACCATCCAAGTTTTATGATGCTTTAAAAGGATCATTTTCTCTGAAGTAAGTGGGACATGGTGCTCATTGACCTTTTAGATTATTCCCATCCTTGTGATCCTTTGATGACATAGCATTCCAAATGCACTTCTATTATTTTAAACATAGT